GCCCATACTATCGCTAAAAGTTCTTTTTCCGTTGTAGAATAATTTCTCTCTGAATCATTTAAGGTCCTGGAAGCATATGCAATAGGTAAATCATGTCCGATTGGTCCCTGAGATAAAACATCACCAAGGGCAACATTACTTGCATCAGTTGTTAAGTTAAATGTCCTTCCGAAGTCTGGATATTGTAAAATCGGTTTGTTGATCAATACATTTTTGCAATGTTCAAAACATGAAACGAAGTCTTGGTTATGTTCAATTTTTGCGCCTTTCTTTAGACATTTTGTTAAAGGTTTTGTGATTCTTGCGAAATCCTTGATAAAAATACGGTAATAACCTAGTAATCCTAAAAATCCTTTGATCTGTTTGGTTGTCTTCGGAATTGGAAATTTCTTAATTGCTTGAATTTCGTCGGGGTTTGGCTTAACTCCGTCTGCTGTTACAACATGTCCTAAATAACATACTTCCTTCCTCAGAAATTCCGACTTATCTAACTGAATTTTAAAGTTAGATTCTCGTAATCGTTGGAAAACTGCTTTTAGTCTATCTAGATGTTCCTGGAGCGATGTAGACAACACAATGATATCGTCTAAATATACTAAACATTTCTCACTTGGAATTCCTCAGAGAATATTATCCATCCCGCGCTGGAAGGTTGCTGGAGCATTCTTCAATGCGAATAGCATCCTAAGGAATTCATAGTGTCCGTTTTTGCTGCTGAAAGCGGTTTTCTCTACGGTTACAGTTATTCGCCTACAGTAAGTTATTGAAACCAATAAGACTCTGAAAGTACTGAAAATCTCAGCGCAGGCTCAAAGAATATGACAATGTTGAGGGATACAGAAGGCAGAGTCACAGCGAGCAAAGAGGAAATACTACGGATTCTGGACGACTTCTATTGGGAACTCTGTAGACACCTCAGACACCGATTCATAACCACTCCATATGTGCAACACGAAGACTACGAAGACATTCCATATATAACAACATTTGAGATTGATCGTGCTCAATACCAAATGAAGAAGAGCAGATCACTAGAAGACGACGGAGTAATAATAGAGGCGATTAAGGCGGACGGCAGATATGTAATGCGGGCTTTTAGCAAACTGTTCACAGCAAACCTGCTTTGAGCAGAAACGGTGACAGCACTGACTTGAGCAATAGCCGTCCGCTCGTCTTCTATTTCATGTTTATAAATTATTAACCAACGTAATAAGCAATCGCGTATGACCTTATGACCCTTATCAGAAAACCATATAATACAACAAAATCGTGATCATGATATTAGTGGGCTACCGGAAGGCAATTAATTACATCCATCAAGGCAAATTCGGAAGGCACTAGCGGAATGTAGAATCGCTCACAGATATATCTCACAAACATATTGTAATGGAAATGGCCTGGGGTACTCACATTTGGAATGGGGGATCGAAATTGATGGTGTTTCAGTAAATGGGAGCCCCATTTGCGCCCTATTTACTGCCAAATATGACACTGACAAGCGGCAAATTTCGCACCTGGGCAGGAAATTTCGAGAACCGTCTTGGTTACCTGGAGAAAACTATATAAGCGGCGACGAGAACCAGACGGGGGGAGTGAAATGACAGCAGCGACCGGGTGCAGAAGAGGTTACACCCCGCGAGTCGGCAGAGCGAGTTTTCCGTCTGTTATTGTTTGTAGCAAATAAACTCCGCAAGCAGGCTCGGATTGAAGGAGAGAGGACAACATTGATAATGATTGGCAACAGCAGCATAGAAAGCGATTTCGTAAATGTATGATCGGTAGTAATGAGGAAATGCAGGCTGTCAAAACAGTACCCAGATTTGAGTCACTTCATGTAGGTAGACTTGCTGCGAATACCGCTGCAGCAGATCTAAGGCAGATTTTAGAGCCCATATTTAAGGATGTACAGTGCGAGCCTCATCCATCAAAACATCCCCAAATTTACCCCTCTATAAAGGTGACCATACAGAGGATGAGCTTAGAAATGCTTGGAAGAGAGAAGTATGCCCATCCGGCGCAATTGCAACTCATTTTTTTGCCAAAAAGAGGGTGCCAGCAAGCCAGACGGATCATCAGGAGCAGGATCCAGTCCGGATAAACTGAAAGCCCACAATTTAAGCGTATATTATCAAAATGTACGGGGTCCACTGACAAAAACCAGTATTCTTTATACTGTACCGTGGATGGCCGCGTATCAAACTCTTTCTTCAGCTTACAACTTTTAT